AATAAATACTAATAATATTTTAATAGGAATAATCCAATTTATACTTTTGTAGATATAATATAAAGAAAATTAAATTCTTTGATATTTTTGACAAAGAAATTGATAATTGAATAGGTCCAGTAGACCCACCATCAGCTCTGTAGGGTTAATCCAAAAAATAGAAATAGGCAATTAATGACCGCTTGGTATTTTTAATTCTACATACAATATATAATCACATTCTGCGAAACAAAACAACTTACTTTTCTACCTGTCGTCGTAGTTTTAAGTACTCGGCTCTACTTTCAGGTTCTGATATGGCCAGTTCCCTAAGTTCCCAGCTTAATTGGAAAGCTGTTATTAAGGGATCTGTCGAGCTCAGAGCTATTAAACTTGGACTCGCTAAAGCCTTATATTCGGAAATTCTAGTAGATGACAGCCGTAACGGATCGCCTAAATCGTAATTCTAATTATGAAGAATGTAATATAATTTTAATTATATCTTCTATCCGCAATTTCTATTGACAATTTATGTATTTTCTAAAATCTGTATTAGGAGACGAACTAAATTTATCAGAATATCTCTCACCGATGGTTGCCTGAAGACAGTCGTCACAGCCACACCTCACATCATGTGGCATCGGCAAGGTAGCTCCTCGATCTAGTAGAAGTTTCAAAATTTCGTAATTATTGCGCTGTGCCGCGAGCACTAATGGTGTCATGTCCATCGGATATCTGGCTGATGCTGGATCTACCTTTTGCCAGCTGTGTATGATCTGTTTTTCGGCTGTAATTAAAGTACGAAGCACACAAAGGACAAATAATAAGTCAATAATAAATCTATTAAGATTAATACAATTCCTTTGAATTTCTGAATTCTTCTAATGCAATTTTATTTTGAATAAAATTGTTTATTTATATTTATAATTACATTTTTACACAAAGAGAACGGTTTCGCAATAGTATGTAAAACTTAAGCAAATACACATCTGTAAATAATAATTTTATTGAACTATCAAAATAATTATGAAGGAGCGTAAACATAATAATAAAATTTTAATATTCCAATTAATCAGCTTGACTGTCTTATATAATAATGTATACTCGAGGCTAAAAATGGGAATATATTTTTAAAAAATTGATATCTTTGAGATTTTTTACTCAATATTTATTAACAATGTTTTTTAAAAATAATTCTTTAGATTTAATAAAACAGTTATTGGATTGAAAAAAGTATTGTTAAAAAATACGTTATTATAAATATCTAAATAAATAATTCCAAAAATGTCAATTTTTAAAAATGTTTCTAAACTTTTGACTTGGAATATAAATAGTATAACATACCTAATTATTTTTAGATTTGTATCTGGTCCAACTTTTATATACTTCAGCAAAACCATTCTTTCCGTATACGATGGCGACAATCGAGACTTGCAAAAATCAATTTCGACTCACAATTTTCAATAATTTGGCTCGTAAGGAGTTCTTCATGTTCTAACAACAATTCGACTGCCTCTACGAATTCCTGATCAATTGCATGAAGCAGAGCATCTTTAGTTTCGACTTCCATCACAACAAGCAACTCAACCATTTCTAAATGTTCCGCCTCTATGGCCAGCGTGAGGGCACCACGACCCAGACTATCTACGCAATTCACGTCCAGCTGTTTTGTCTAAAACGTTCAAACATATCGGGAAATCTCGGCGTATCTTAATTCTACGAAATTGCTACTATAATTTCTATACGCGAATTATAATATTTCCAGAATTTTGTGGATACATTTACAATTAAAGGTCAATTTTAATAAAACTAAACAAAATAAAATTTTAATCTTTAATTTCAGCAAATATTATAGATTTCAAAAAAGATTGTGTTTCATATTAAAATATAGTTTTTCGTTACAAAATCAGCGAGCTCATTTATTCCAAAACTTTTTTTTTATTTTCGTATTGATTTCCTTTAAATTTTTCTTTAAAATTTCTATATTTACCTTGCCCTTGTTTGCAAGCTGCAGAAGCCTCTTCACGTTAGGCAAATCACCTCTCTCTACAGCCAATAGATATTTCTTTTCTTCAAGAGTGAGTGGTCGTGGAAGGTGAAGCACATAATCGTTCGTGCCCTGGGCCGTAGCTTCCATATCCTTATCGTTCTTCACGTCACTCATTTTGAAGCGTTCACCTTTTTACCTCGACAATACGATTATCTTCAATGTCATTTAAACCGCTTGCACACCAAAATCAGTCAAAATCATTTCTTTTTTCACCAGCATATCGATGATGTATGACAGAGTACCAAGCTTCGCAAAACACAACAATGATTTCCCGAAGAGAAGGCGATTTTGTGAAGAAGAAGAACGCGATATTCCCCGTTAAAATGTTGCTTCGCTCTTGTGCGAGTATCACTTGACATCGGTTATATAGAGGATCATGAAAATCGAATTACGCGTATTAATGCAGACCTTGTTGTGGGTGGCACAGATGGCGATGGGGATAGTAATGTTAGCGTTATCTGTGATAGTGCACCTGTGTCTGTTAAGTAATTTGCTTACCGATATCTCGTTAGCTATTGCACTTGCAATAAGAGTGCGTTCGCTAGAAACGAGGGAATGTCGACGCAGAGCGAGTAAACCACCAACGCGGTGAGTGCTCGCGGGGGCTAAGCCGGATAATTCCCTATTGTCTATGCATTACATAATATTCCAATAGCCTCGGGTATGTTGAAACAACAACCCCGTCAGGCATCGATGTGATTTTGCAGCCTACTTTGAAAATCTGTTCTTTTAATTGTAGTTTCTTTGATCCCCCGATAAAAAATTTTTCATATAAGAACATTATAAATATATATAAATAATATAAAACAAATATAACATATATAATTATATGCGAAATATGTCCATATATATCCATATAAGTATATCCTTCCTTTTTTTTGTAAAATAACTATTTGATAAAAGAAAAATAATAATAATGGGAACACACATAAATAATAATTAAAAGAATAATTTTTGCATTATTTCTTTTATAGAAAATCAAAGGATTGATTTTCTACACTAACCTTATGAAAATTGGCCCTCTGTTGAATTGGCTAAATTTTTAATATATTGTAATTCTCATTATTCTAAACAAATGTCTCCATGGGACCAACCTTCTCCTATAGCTAGTTTTTGCTCTACAAGTCGTGGAATGTTCAGATTCAAGCCATCCTTCAAATTAAGTTTCTGTGTATTGTTGATATTATATATCATTATTGGTAGATATGTATAATAGGTGTGTACATATTTATGTATATACCGAGTACCACTTTAAGTGACGATTTCAAAGTATCTCTTAAATCGTGCATTATAGAGAACAACGGTTCAGATGAAAATGGAATAGTTTTGAAGGGGATGTATTTTGATTACGTTATTTTTAAGAGAGCAATCAAGTATTGTATAATACTATCTCGTCACAGATATAAATAAATTCGTATGTCGCGTGTTATGTCTAAGTGCTTATTCAATGAATTTCCAAATTAACTGAGAAAATATAAAATATGAGATTGTTAAAATAAATTATATATTTTAAAAAATAATAGAGAAATAAAATTTGACAAAATGACTTACATGACTAACGCCTAGATAAGTCGATATATCTATCGAGAAAAAATATTTTTTGTGATAAAAAATTCACTCTGTGTCAAAAACAAAGTTATATTTTTATAACTAAAAATGAATAAAAATAAATAAAAAATTAACGCAAACATTTGATTCGTTATAAGTTTATAAGATTCGTTATGATTGCATTATATCGCAAATTGCGATACAGAGAAACAGTTGTAACCCATTAATGCGAAATTCTAAACAATCCAACACGCACATAGAGCGCATTAATAATCCTAATTATGCGGCAAATATATAAATTCATTATGCAGAATAAATACGGATAAATTCATTATCCGTATTAAAATATCCTTTCGCGTGGCTTATCGGCTTTTCCATAGTGGCGAAAGATGAAAATGAAACAGGGAAAGCTGAGAGTTGCATCATGGCGGGACAGACATTTCAAAGAGAAAGAGTGGAAGAGAGGCAGTAATTATTAACTGTTAAAATGGCGGCTTCATCTTCTCGGCTATATAATTGTACAATACATAGTTGCGATCGGACCGTTATTTGTTCAATGACTCAATATTTCAAGGATCTAATGTCCAATCATGGGCATATCCAGGATTCTTTTCGGGGAAGGGGTTTATTAATTCTGTTATCATCTAAACAACAATTTCTTTAATGAATTGATTTTTTGAAATTTATTTTTTTTTAATTTATTAATTATTGTAAAGTTTAGAATGTCCTCTTCTTGTTCCAGATTTTAAAAGGAAAAAGTATTAGATTTCATAAAATTTATAACCTTTATTTCTCTTTCTAAAGAAAGTAGGTATAGGCAAAATACAGTTATATTACGAACGAAATGTGTAGTTGTGAATGGAGTACTATCAAGCGACGCGGTAGCGTCTCGACGCCAAGTGTTTATTCCCTCTCAATGTTTTCTATGTTTTCGACCTTTTGGAAGTGAATAAAAGAGAGAAGACTACAGTGTATAAAATGTATAAGTATGTATAATATAATAAAATGTGTGTGTATAAATATAAGTACGTTTACAATTCAAATATGTATTTATATAAATGATTATAGGATAAAATTGTATACAAATTAGTTTAGATAAATTAAAATTACGCTAATAATTTACAAATTTATTTAAAACAAGAATGCATTAATAAATAAAAATCTGAAACGTTAATAACTGAAGACGAGAGCAAAATATATCGTTCGCTCACAGTTTTACTGTTCTTGTTCATACCGCGAACAATGAGTGCGGCAAGTGAAAGTAGCGATAATAATGTAAGAAAACGCATCTTTTTTCATTCTTCCGCGCTGTCATCTTCCGTCCGGAAAAGGAAAGTTCTTTCAGAGACAGCAGGAAAAAGATGATCGCCTGGCTGACGACGGTGAGGAAAAACGACCGATGAAAGGAAGTACCAGCGCAATAAATCGGAGCCACGATTGCAGATGCATCTCAGTGCCTCATCTTATTCTTCGAATTTACTTCTTATTTTATGCGGAACGGTATCGAAATGACATCATGCGTCGGAGAATTGAGGATACTGTGGTTGTTGCTGACCCTGACATTTCTTCTTGATAGCACGCCAGCGATGAGAAAGGTCAGCAAAGCTCCAGCTGGATTCCGATACACTAAGGATTTAATCGCGGAGGCTACGGATCATAGAGGTGAATTACAACTGTCATTTTGTTTGTAAAACATAAATAAAAATAGTAAAGAAACTAAACTAAATAAGACCATTTAATAAATGAGATATTTAATATAAAGATATAAAGCAAACACATTGCTAAATTTTAGCTGCGAAAATTGTAATATTTTTTGCAGGATTGTCGATATTTTTGCATATGTGCAATGTTTTCTTTCACCCGACAATAAATGAAATAATTGTTTATGACATTGATGAGCAGAAATTCAATTGTATAGTTTACGGTGGATTATACGGATCTGCCGACGATCGTGCTAATTCGTACGTGTCAGAGAATTAGAAGCGCACTCGATACTCGTACTATTTCAATATGTCGCATTTGCAGCATTTAATCTTTAACAATTAATTCGGGTCCATTTTTATTTTTGTATACCATTACAATTCAAACAATGTTGTTGAAATATACAATATATATATTATGTGAAATATGTATATGGCGCGTGCTCGCCGCGGTTGATTTATAATCTATTTAAAAAGATAAAATATTCAAACGCGTTCAAGTATTATTGACAGTAGTCTTAATAGAAAGTTCTTATATCTTACACTATTACTTTTCTGTTAATGAAAAAAGCAAACAATTACATGGAAAATATGATTTTGTTAAAGTATCTAAAAATTTAGCTAGATACAAATCTGAAAATAAATTTTATTAGACCATTAAAATAATGTAGAATGTTCAACATTCTAAATTTTTGGGAATGAAATTTCACTCCTAAAGAGTGATAGTTGCGCCAGTCCTACAGGAGTGAAATTTTCACTCTTAGAGAGTGAAGAATCACTCCAAATGGGAATGAATTTTCAATCTATGTGGAGAGCGAATAATTTCACTCTCCGAAGGGAAAGACTGAAATTTCACTTTGATAAATGTTAAGTTTAGCCTTCCTACATCTAATCTAAAAATTATTAGGCTTATTCTACGTGTTTTTGTACAAAATGAATGAATATGGCAGAAAAAAGCGTCACTCAGTCTCGCGAAGCGAGATATTAATCATTAAAGTTGACTTTTTAGGTTAGATAAAGAAATTCACTCCTGAAGGAGTGAAGTGTAGTTTACTCCTTGCTGAACTGGCGCAACTATCACTTTTCTTGGAGTAAAATTTCAGTTCCAAAAATTTAAAGTGAAGCTGGTTGCTAAAATGTCAAGATGTCTTTTTGCAGCATTGCTCATTATAGATACTTATAAATATCCTACATAATTACTTTGATAGTGAAACAAAATTGTTTTCAGATCTGTATCTAAGTTTAAGACTTCAACAAAATTGTTCTTTCCGTATAATTTTTTTCTGATATTTCTTTTTCATTTACCTCGCAGACTGAAAACTATGGTATTTGCAAGTATGAGCGGATGATCTTGAACCGTTGCGTAGGTGAGAACTGGAAAGAGTTCAATTTACTCGTTTCTTAGGATAAATAATCTCCTTTTCGACGCGCAAATTGAAAGGTTTATTAAACGAAAACGAGAGCGTTGTTTCTCATGGACGATAAAGATTCAGTAGCTTTATTTATATTTTATTCAAACAGGCAGCAACAGACATCATGAAGAGGGTGCCGGCTCGAAGCATGACGAGGATCATCACAACGTGCATGGTCATAAGGATGATAAGGTACCTATACAACGCTTCGTTCTCCAGCTGCTATCGATGTTCAGGCCGTTGCCATCCATGCGTTGTCAAAGATTTTTTCCCTTTTTTATTGCTTGTAATACAAGCACCCGTAGTGCTTCACGTTCTCTTAGTTCGCAACCACGGGAATATATATTGCATAGTTTTTTTTCTTTTTCGTACAAATATTATATCTGAGTAATAAGACAGGCTTCGACCTAAAGAAGCATTCGGCGCGCAATTGTAAAGTATAATATTTTATCTCTTTGTATCGAATATTTCTCGATATTGTTTTATATTTCTGTAAATTCCACTGCATTCGAGGAAAGTGAGTAATGATTTTATTCCTTTATGCCAGAATTGCGGTATTCTAACAACGTCGCGAATTATTCATCGACGTTTTTCAATGGAATGAAAGCTTCAGCCACAAGCCACAATATCTAATAGTGTGTTTGCCTAAATATAAGTAATATATCTTTGTTCCTCATTGTTTGTTATTATTATTATGTCAATGTTTTAACTCTCCGGAGCTGACGTCAAAAGTATAAGTTATACTATAAGTTATACTATAAGTTATACTATATATAGTCTGTATAAGTTATAATTACTGACTGATTGGGTCTGTAAAAGACATTTAATTTATGTTAATTAAAAAGCATTAATTAATTTTAAAGAACCAAAAGAATAACTCATATAAAAAAGAATGAATATTAAGTATATTTTAATACGAATAATCTAAATTTGAAAATGTAACATTAAGATAATTGAATTGTTTGACATTTTTGACAAAGAGATTTATAATTTAATGATTCTAATACTTCCAATATACTAACCGTCAGTTTCAGCGAATTAAATAGTATCTAATAAATTAAATTCATATTAATAATATTGATTTGTGTGTGTGTGTGTGTGTGCGCGTGCGCGCGCGCGCGTACAATATTTTTTAATTTATCTATAACGTATAATTTGATTGAAAAAGGGTTACAAGGCTTTCCACGAATTTGAGAAAAGCGATAAGGGACACCACGACAAGGAGAAACACAAGCAAGAGTATGACGAGGAAGACGGCGAGGAGAAAAAGAAGCACGAAGAGGTTGGCCATTATGGTGAGGAGCATCATGGCGAGGAGGGTGAAAAGGAAGCGAAATTTGGCGAAGAGGGCAAACACCAAAAGGGACATAGTACAAAAGGAGAACACACTGTCTTCAAGAAGGTACAAATCATGCTATGTACGCGTCTTGTTGATCAACACGATTACGTATTCTATATTCCAAATATTCCAAATCAATCTGTTTTGTTAATATCCATTGTAATTTAGAAAATACATCTATCACGGTTAATATAACTAAAAACAAGATAGAGAGTACATGTACTTATATAGATATTAAAGCTTCCCAAGAAATTACAAGATCGAGCGTACAAGGCTTCTATTATTCGACATGACTATCTAGGCTTCCAATAACCTGTTGTCTGCATTTAACACTTATATACTTTAAGATATATGTGTAACACGATATATACTTTAAGTTATATGTGTTAACAGGCCGCGTCAATTTGATTTATAGCAATTCTCTTCCAGAATTATAATTAATGTTTAATTTTTTAATTTATATAGTTATACTAAAATGGGTTATTAGAAATAAACATTATTGAATATATTTATTTTGCAAAATGAAAAATAAAAATATATATTATATTATAATTATTAGTAAACAGTTTTTTAATATAAATAAGATTCTAACATTTGTGAAATTTTTAAATTAACATGTAAATTGTGTCCTTCAGGATGAATATGAGAAGAAGCACGATTTTTATGACGAATACCACGAGGACGGAGGAAGCGAAAAACACGGTGGTTGGCATGAAGAACATGAGGGCAAGAAGGGTGGGCATGAAAAGAAGGGTAACCTGCATTCGGGACATCACGAGGTCATTATTTATTAAAATCATTATAGTTATGATAGTCGTAATAATTATCATAGTTATTAAATAATATTAATAATGATCATAATTATTATAGTTATTTTCTTTATCAATTGAAATGTTTACAACTATCACGCCATTAATCCGACCGCGATTTCGTTTTTATTTCAGGGTCATCATGGTGAACATAAAAAACACGAGGGAGGTCATCATCATCATGAGAAAGAAGGTCATAAATCGGCAGAGGGACACGATAGTCATCACCAACATGATGAGAAACATGGTTATAAAGACGGACATGCATCAGGACATAAATGGTCGAAATCAAATCATCATTGACGAGACGTGACAAATCTTATTTTTATATAATTGTCAAATGCGTTTTATTTACGTCCGATTTGTTGAGAATTTTGCGGATTGATTGTATATTTGGAACAGTATCGAGTGGCATATACCACGTGTATTGAGCTTATTAACCTTTCATTACTCAGGTGGATGCTTTATAAATTCACTAAATGTTGAATACTATAAGTATACACACACACATTATTATATTTAGCGCAAATTGGTTTATACAATTAAAAAAATTTTTTCTTGTATTTATTTTCATCTGAAGGGGTGTATAAAATATTATTAATCTTTATTTAATTGTAAAACATAAAAATAATGAAAATTGTGACGTTGGGTTGTCAGAAACATTCCACGCGAATAATTACGTTAAAAAAACCATATATGTAACAATGTAGGATTAAGAAGACTTATAATGACAACGACAACCTTATTCTTGTCAAATAAGTGACATACAAATTTGTTGCTAGATTTTTATAATTATGTAATGTATAAGTTTTATTTAATATATGTACAATATATATTTAAATATAAATATAAGTAAAAATATATATAATAAATGTATAGTCATCTCTCTACCTTATAGAGCGAGTATAATTTTTCGAATAAGCCTCGAACATTGCGTCATATTGTCACTTTTTTCATCAACTCTGATCGCTGGGAAAAGTGAAAATCTTAGCATAAAACTGGTCCCGCTTCAATGCACGTTGTACAGGTATTGTGCGATTAAACAACTCGTACATTCTGATGCAGATGTATGGTATCAAGACAATCTTGCGAATCTTTGTCTTCTTCAGCAAAGCTAAAACATTCTCACATTTATTTTATTTTAGCACACTTTTATAATCATGATAACTTGATTTTATTTTTAATTGCAATCATATTTAGGTAATTACAATTAAATTTTTTGTGAGATTAATATTCTATCATATATTATAGTATCCCATCATTTGGCATAAATTTGATTTAAAATTTGAGAGCTATAAAAGGATAAAAAGCTAAAAGGATCACTCTTTATATTATCGTGAAAATATAAATCATTTTCAATCTTTATCGTGTGTATACGTGTGTTATTGTTTAGTATTATCTTCGTTTCTATTATCTAGTGTTTCTGTAATTAATGCATTTTACTATATATTAACACAATGATTTGGAACGTGTAGTATACAGGGTGTTTCCAAATTAAATGGCAAAACTTCGGGAGCGTGTAGAGGAGTAAAAAACTAAGAAAAAAAGTCCTATAGACATATGCTCGTTTTTGCTCCGTTTCAGAGAAATCGAAAAAAAATGTTTACATTTCTTGCCATATCTAGCACCGACATATTTGATTACATTTTCCACTTTCTGTTATGAATTTGTCAGTCGCTCTTTGAAAGCCTTTAACAGTAGATGAATTTTGTCTTTTGCAATATGCCGCGTACGTATTCTAATAGTGAATATGCTGATATGGTTTTTGTATACGGTTTCTGCAACGGTAATGCTTTAAAGGCGGTGCGAGAATATGCACGACGATTTCCAAACAGAAGAGTGCCAAACCGAAGAGTGTTTATGTTGACATTTAATAGATTGCGAGAGACTGGATCATTTTCAATTCGACAAGAAAACAACCGATTTCAAGCAGCGTTACGAAGAGATTTGCAGGCA